GGGGTTTTGCTGGCGGCGGGGACGAAATCCACCACCAACTTCAGCTACCTGAGCAGGACTCCAGCTGACGTCAGGCGGACTAGCCATGAAAGGCCACACTGGTGCTGGGCTTCACCATTCCAGCCATGGAACAGAGTCATTCTGAGCAAGCTCTGGGAGCCCCACGGGAATCCCTAGATGAAACTCCCCCAGTCATGGGGACACAGTTCCAAAGGCAGGAGACGATTCACCCTGGGTACAGCCGACCACTCACACTCAGTTCCCTTTATTTACTAGGATTTAACGTGGGCAAAGACCCCCGTATCCAAACCCTGCTGATTGCGATTTAAATATTTAATCTTCTAATTACACTTAGTAAATCCTGCGCTCATAGATAAACGTCGCTTACATCCTCCACTACAATGCAAACTATTTTACGACACTTGTGTTCTAAGAAGCGCTCTTGTTCTTCGGTTTTTTAAATGTTACTTTGCTTTGCTTTTCTTCAAACCTACCAGGTGACGAGCACAACTAAGCCCTTCACGTATGTTGTTTATTTTCATTCTAACCCTTATTATAATCGGAAGCCTTGTGCATTGCTGATGGGAAAGTAAGATGGGGTAGCCATGGTGGAAAACAGCTTCTAACGCTCTAAAGTTAGTTTTTGTCCGTGCCTTAAGTAAGGCAGGGTTATAACGAAGGCTCAAAGAAGCCAAATAAACTGGCCCAGATCTGTACCCAACAAACTTATCTTGACTCCAAAGCCCATATTTAACACTCCCACTCCATACTTCCTCCCTTGACCCTGTTAGGAAATCGGTTACCCCATAACTGCTACAAATGCAGTGACAGGAACAGGGGCCAAAGGGAAACACTCTGAAAAGTAGAAAACATCAATATGTGATTCAAATTATAACTTTTAAACTGCCAGCCTCTTTGGGGAAAGAACTGCAAGATTATACAGGAATGTGCGTAATAAAACACTGAAAAATAAATAAAACCCTTCAGAGGGGCACATCTGGGTGGTGATATTTGGTCTTTATTTTTGTTGTTGTTGTTGTTAATTTATTTTTAGCTGCATTGGGTCTTCGTTGCTGTGCACGGGCTTTCTCTAGTTGTGGCGAGCGGGGGCTTCTCACTGCAGTGGCTTCTCTTGTTGCAGAGCACGGGCTCTAGGCGCACGGACTTCAGTATTTGTGGTGCACGCGGCTCGCGGGCTCTAGAGCGCAGGCTCAGTAGTTGTGGCACACAGGCTTAGTTGCTCTGCGCAGGTGAGATCTTCCTGGACCAGGGCCCGAACCTGTGTCCCCTGCATTGGCAGGCGGATTCTTAACCACTGCACCACCAGGGAAGCCCATCTCGGTTGTTAAAGTTTCATTCATGCTGCTCATTTTAAGTGCATCAGAGGCCCCCAGGGGCGGGGGGTGGGGGTGGGCAGTGATGCTGGGTGTCCTTCTGCCCACCACCTCCCAAAGGCTAACTGCTCCTACTCTGTTCTCCCAGAGCTACACTTTTATAAGAAATATTCCCACAGGCTGGAGACCGTATCCAAGGGAACACTGTATAACTTCACTTCCTCCCTTCCAGGGCAGCAAAACTCACTCTGTCAGGGGAGTTGTGGAAACATCTTACAATACTGTGTTCAGCCACGCCATGTTCACACTGGAAGCGAAGGTCACTGCCTTCCACCACCCTCTCCAGCCCAGGATCTCCTTCTCGAAGCGGGTCCCTGGGGCTGGTAATTGAAGCCACCTGAGAGGCTGGTGCCCCACTCCTTTGCCCTCAAAGGAGAAGCTACAAAAATAGACAGGAGGTTTCAATTCCCACCCACTCTCTCCAGCTTTTGGGTGGGTCAGCCTGCAGGTACACAGGAAGCCGAGGAGAGAGAGGGCATGTTTCCTGGCCCATGTGATCAGCTCAGTCTGAAAGCTGGGCCTCCACACCCAACCAACTTTTGAGAAAAAAAGTGGGCTCCATCATTCATGCATGGACTCAACCATCTATTCATCCTACAAATGTTAACTGAGCATATACGCAGTGCTAGGCACCATCACAGGTAAAATACCTGCCCTCATAGAGCAGACAATTTAGTAAGGGAAACAATGAACAAAATAAATATTTTGTATATTAGAAAGGGCTATGGAGAAGATAAACCTGGAGGTGTGTATAGGGAGTGTGTGTGTGTGTGTGTGTGTGTGTGAGCAGGAGGACGAATTACAATCCTCAATGAAACAAAACCTTCTATTTCTGAGGGTGGGCAAGTTTTCAACATGTCAGATTACTTTAAACGCCAATGGAGACCTCACATTTTTAAGCCCCTACTAACTACCTAATCTCAAACTCAGCATCGCAATACAAGAAGAGACACTTCCTTTCACTGCTCCTTTACATTTTATCTCCAGCCCTCTTAATCATCCTCTACTTGCTTCTCTCCAAAGAAAAGCCTAAAACCAGTCAGAATGCACACCCATTGATTTCATAGATAAACTCAGTTTAAGCTTTAAATCTTTGAAATAAATTGCTAAACATATGCCAAATTAGAATTCTATGTTTTCTGACAACCGCCGCCAACATGGAGCTGGCCTCTGTGTCCCGTGTTTTGATTTTACAACATTCTTAAGAGCCCCAGTAAGACCAGCCTTCAGGGGATGTGGTAACAGGGTTGCCTAACTGGTACAGCCATTGGCTCCCCGGCTAAATGTCCAAAGGTGGAGTGTTTAGCTGCCGTAGGGGATGCCACCCTTTCACAATCACCAGGAGGTTCTGAGTCTCCAAGAAATAAAGCAAAGTGCCAGGGGTCTTTTTGCGGGGAATTTTCCTCCCTTTTTTGGCCAATCTTACTGACTTCAAGAATAAGAAAATTGGGCTTCCCTGGTGGTGCAGTGGTTAAGAATCCGCCTGCCAATGCAGGGGACACAGGTTCAAGCCCTGGTCCGGGAAGATCCCACATGCCGTGGAGCAACTAAGCCTGTGCACCACAACTACTGAGACTGCGCTCTAGAGCCCGCAAGCCACAACTACTGAGCCCATGTGCCTAGAGCCCGTGCTCCGCAACAAGAGAAGCCACTGCAAGGAGAAGCCCCCGCTCACCGCAACTAGAGAAAGCCCAGGCACAGCAACGAAGACCCAACACAGCCAAAAAATAAATTAAAAAAATAAATGAAGAATAAGAAAATTGTGCATACTCACAGCAAACCCAAACCAAGGTAAAGCCCAAAGGCACAGGTGCTACAGCCCTGCTTGATTTTGGAATGCAGCAGGAGTGAGAGCATCATTTTGAGTTCATCTCAGACAGACTGGACCTCAAAGCAGGCTCTCCAGCAGGGAAGGCGTCCTGAACCTCCATCAGGCACGGGATCTGAGGCTTTGCCCTCCAGGTCTGGACCCACCTCCCCTGCTGGATGGCGAATAACCTGAAGTCCTTCCCAAAGTAGCCACAGGAGGAGCATCCCACAGTCAGTGTGCGCCGAACTAAGTCAATGAACGTTTGCTGGACCGACGTTCCTATGTTTGCTGTGTCACAAATCTTCAAGCCCTGTCCTCACCCTCTACTAAAGGAGACCATTTATAAGCCAGGTGCTGTGTTTAACGCACCAATGATTAAGATACACAGCCTTCAAAGGACTGGGGAGATGAACCCCTCCTCTGGCCTCTTCGCCTCTGATGAGCCCCACAGGGCGCCACCAGCCTCCGTTTCCCAAGAGCCCAGGCACTAAGTGTCACTGTGCTGCCCAGGGGCCCAGGAGGCCCACCCAACCTCCTACACTAACTCCCCCACTCAGAGCTTCACTGAGCTCGTAGAGCAGGCCCACCTGCTGCCCACCATGACCACAGGTCACCCCACTGCCCCTTCCATCCAGAAATCCCACCAACTCCGGCTGACTCCTTGAGGCTCAGTGAAGTCTACCCTCCCTACCGAATCCAACTGCCTGCTTTCCGGCCTCCCCGGCCTAAAGTATGGGAAGGGTCATGCCCTGGTTCTGCCCTTTCAGGACGTATGAATCACATTTCCCCGTAGTCTTTACTCCAGGAGGGCCTCCCCCAGAATAAACAGGCAGCAGTCACCAACAATGGGCCCAGGGATCCAAGCTCGTCCCCTGGACTGCCCTCTCCCTGGCCTTGGTCTCCTCCTCGGCATAAGGAGGGACAAAATGGGAAGATCTAAAGTCCCTCTTATTTCAGATTCCAAAATCTGAAATTCCATATAGCTTCCCTAGATACAACTGGAAAAGCCTCATATTGTTCCTCAGTTGACCTTTTAAACAGGTGTCCCAGCTAATGCAAGTTATCCAAAGGCCTGATTTTCAAGGAGTTTTGGACCATAACTTTTAGAGGAAAAAAAATGCTTTTTTAAAAAATAAATTTTACAAGCCTGAGTTTTTTTCCTCCTTTCATTCCTAGGAGGAAAGTGAAGGGATGGGGGCGGGGAACTGACCTGCTCAGTTCTGCTATTAAGATCACGAGCTCGCGATTCGTACCACCTGCGTTCCTCCTCCGGGCGTGGAGACCGTCCCAGGCCCGCCCGGCTCGCCCCGTTCACCCGCCCGACAGTCCCGGATTGCCAGAGCCTCCCGAGCTGCGCCCCACCGTGGGCCGGCCGTGTGTCCCCAGCCGCGACACCACCTGGAGCCTCGGGCGCGTCCAGATGGCCGGGGCGCACCCGCTGTCACCTGGCCCCGCACGACGGCCCCACTCCTCCCCGGGCGGCCCTCGCTCCAGCCAGCGTCTCTCCTTCGCTTCCCGAGCCAAGCCTAGCCTCCGGGCGGTCACCGGGCCAGGCGGCGAAGGCACCTGCCCCGCCCGGGAAAATGCACGAGCCCGCAAGTCCCTTCTGCCACCACCTCGACGGGAGCTAGCAGGAGAGAGGCAGGAGAAAGGAAAACAAGCCCGAGGCAGGGCCGGCCCGGCGTCTCCCACAAAACCGCCACCTGCGCCGCAGCCCCGGACTGGGGCCGCGGGCCTGGCGGGGAACGAGGTCCGGGCCCGGCCGCTGCGCCCACCCGCCCTGGCGCGCCCCTTACCCGTGAGCCGGCCGCCCCCCTCGCCGTGCCCCCGGCGCCGCTGCAGGATGAAGTAGCAGCTGCTCTTCTGAGTCACCCAGAGCTTCAAGGCGTTCTTCAGCAACACCTCCTCGGGCTTGAGCCACATCGCGGAGGTCCGGCCGCGCCCGCGGGCCCCGGCTCACATCGCCCCGGCCGCCGGGCCGAGCCCACTCGGGAGGAGGAGGCGGCGGCGGAGGGGAGCGCAGCCAGCCGGCGCCCTGCGCTCGTGAGTCCAGGGAGCGCGGCGGGCGCAGCTCGCCCCTCGCGGCCCGCGCAGCCAGCGCGCAGGCCCCGCCCCGGCCCCGCCCACCGGTCGCCGCGCCCCGCCCACCCCGCCGGCTCCTGCGGCGCCGCCAGGGTTTCCGAGTCCCGGCGGCTCCAGCGCAGTTCCGGAGTGGAGGGAGGAAGTCCAATCCCGGCCGCCGGGCTCCCCGCCTCTCCCCCTACGCTCGCGGGGGCCGCCGCGGCCCCTCTTCTCTCCAACGCCCCTGCGGGGAGGCAGCCCGGAGAGCAGCAGGAGGAAGAGGAGGCGATGGTGAAAAAGACATCTTGTTGTCCCAGCTGCAGTTTGCCGAGCTAGGGCATTTATCTTTGGGGGGACAGAATGCACCCCAGGAAATCCACGTGTGTTTGGAATAACACGGCACTTAAAATAACAAGAAACGTTTTTACAAATAACCAGAAAATAGCGTTAAAAGCTAAAAATTATTTTCCGAATTTTTTAAACGCTGAGCGTACGTTTTCCGTGATCTCACGAGGGATCCCTCGGAGCTGCTGAAGCAGCGGCGATGTTGTAGGACCCTGCGGCAAGGTTCACACCAAACTCAACACCGGACGCCCCTCGTGGGCACAGAAGATGTCGGTATTAGGGCTCCCCTGCAGGTCCCCTACCCAGGAACGAAACCAGGGACGCTGGTTCTCATAGAATTGAAAAGCTGGGAAGTATGGAGTAGGTGATAGTAAAGAAAAGCTATAGCGAATATGCAGGTAGGGCTTTAAAAGTATTTCCTCAAAGCGTGGTAGAAATAGACACGTGGACGCTGGCCTTGAACAGCTGAGGGGGACTCCGAGGCATCTCCTCAAGGAAGCAGTTAAATCCAACATCCTAGAAAGAGAGGGAAAGAAACTCCAACACGACCCTCGGGTTTTGACAAAGGGACCCCTGACAACATGTGACTTAATTAGGACAAAACTGAAGTAAAGCTCCCACAAGATCCCTGGGAACTGAGTAGAACTGCTTCACTGGAGGCCAAGGAATCTGTTTGTAGAGGATCAGAAACCCATATGTGACCCAGCATGTGAGAAGCCAGGTAAGAGCCCTGTGCCGAGGACAAACGGGACTGCCCACCCAGGGGGCAGGGGCAGCTGTGGTCCAGAAGTGCAGGCCATGGACAAACATCCCCTGAGCACAACTGAGGGAGGGAGTCAGCTGTTCTCAGGGGGACTTGGGTGCCGCTGAGCGCTCAGGGTGGGCAGGGATGACTAGAAAATATTCCTTCCAGAAATAGTTGCCGACACCCACTCCCGACGGTCAGATGCGCTGCCAGGCCCTGGAACTGCGGACATGAGTGGAACAGGGTTCCTGCCCTGAAGGACTCAGGTAGGAAAGCAGGCACAAAGTGTAAATATAAACTACGTGCCATTAAATCACGGAAAGTGATCTATGAAAGCAGCTGGGAGAGGATGGGAAGGGTCCTGTGGGGTATGGTGCACTGACCTCTCTCTCCTCCCACCCACGAGGCTCCTGCCTGTGCCCGTTAGCCAAGTCAAATAGAAGCCAAAAGGCAAGGGAGCCCAGGCGATGCCGTCTGTAGAGATCGGGCTCCTGGGCACAGGGCAAGGTGAAGGCTGGAGAGGGGAACTGGAGGGGCCAGTGGAGAGTATCCAGCACAGGTGGTAACAGCTTCCCACCGTCACTCATCTCTGGGCACTCAAGGTTGGTGTTAGGGGTGTCCCCCAAAACACTCATACGTTGAAGCCCTAATCCCTAGTATCTCAGAATGTGACCTTATTTGGAAATAGGGTCATTGAAGGTGTAATTAAGTTACAATGAGCTCGTTAGGGTGGACCCTAATCCAGTATGACTGGTGTCCTTATAAAATGGGAAATTTGGACACAGACAGGCACAAAGGGAGAACAGCATGTGGAGATTATACGTGAAGATTGGAGTTAGGCTATCACAAGCCAAAGAACTACCAGAAGCTAGGAGAGAGGCCTGGAACAGATCCTTCCCTCAGAAGGAACCAACCTTGATCTCGGATTTCCGGAAGTGTGAGACAATGTCTGTTGTTAAGCCACGTACTTCGTGGTACTTTGTTATGGCAGCCCTAGCAAACTCATACAGGTGGCTTCCTAATCTTGCCCACGCCTGCTCAGTAGCAGGTCTCTTGAGTTGGCTTCTGTTTCCTGCCCGGACCTTGACTGATGCCAGGAAGGTCCCCAGCACACACAGTTCCTCAATATGGAATTCTGGCTGGGCTACTCACATATTTGTGCATGCATTGGGAGCAAAAGGGGTGTGGTAATCTGTGACATAGAGCGGCCACAGGATTACTCAAGTGAGCGCTGGTGGTAGTGTGACGGGCAGATGGGGGACAAGGCGTGGAGGGCCGTTGCTGCTGTTACACTGATTGCTATGACAATGATGATAATTAGAACGAGTGTAGAGTGAGATGGCTGTTTCTCACTGCCCTGAAGAGTTTTTTTTTAAAAATAAGCATGAAGTTTTAAATTTCAATCTCAATATACAGATATGGTGACATTCAAAGAATCCTTTATAGGGTACAGCCGCAGGACACACAGGGGTCATCCTCAGATCCTAAATATAATTGTTCAGGTTACAAAGTTGTTGCAAAGTTGGGGGGGGGGTTTACTGAAGTATAGTTGATTTACGATATTGTATTAGTTTCAGGTGTACAGCACAGTGATTCAGATAGATAGTTATGTCCATTCTCTTTCAGATTCTTTTCCCTTTATTGCAAAGTTTAAGTGTTCAACCTCAGCAGATTCTCTTGCTAAGATTAGGACACTGACCACGAAGGAGCAGGACCATAGATTGTGATGGGAATATTTGGGTGGACACAGACAAAGTGATAATTGTGTGATGCCATAGAGGTGTTAGCTAACGCTACAATGGCCATCATATTGCAGTATAAATGTATCAAATCAGTATGTTGTACACCATAAGCTTACACAGCGTTTTATGTCAATTATATCTCAATTTTTTAAAAAGTGGAATGCAGAAACTCAAAGAAATGAAGAGGAGACAGAGAACAACAGAATTAGAACATATATTGACAAAATTATCCAAAACATTATCAACAAAAGTTATTAAAACAAATGTGTAATAGAGGGACTTCCATGGTGGTCCAGTGGGTAAGATTCTGCACTCCCAATGCAGGGGGCCTGGGTTCGACCCCTGGTCAGGGAACTAGATCCCGTGTGCATGCTGCAACTAAGGGTTCACATGACGCAACTAAGTAGTCCTCATGCCACAACTAAAAGATCCCACATGCCACAAGTAAAGATCCTCTATGCTGCAACAAAGATCCCGCATGCCTCAATGAAGATCCAACATGCCGCACCTAGCACCTCATTGACTCCAGGCCCATAGCAAGAATAAACTCCCAGCTGAGCCCAGAAGAAAACCGCAAGGTCTGCTGGGGACGAGGTGGAGGTAGATTATACACCAAGGAAGTTGGAATATCTTGCCCATGTGTATTGAGAGGAAGCTGAGGGTCATGTATAGGAATGGAATCTACAGTGTTACACCAAGAGGGATGAAATGTAAGGTTGGAATCAGCAAGATTTACGAACGTATATACACTCACTCGGGACTCCTGATGTAATGTGTTATATTCAGCACATCTGAGTGGCTCTAAGCTTTGATTCCTTGGTTTATTGAAGCCTGGATTTAACAATGGCCTAAATTCAATGAGGATGAGATGCTAAAACTTCTCTGGCATATTGTAGACTAAGGAAAGGGTTTGAAGGCTTAGGAGATTAGAATGTTTGAGTTGATATATTATATACAACCTACTCAACCAACACCCCACAAGCATACCATACCCCTGGCCATCAAGACCACTACCCTACAACCACAACATGCATCTTTGCATTGAGAAATGTGGGAAACTTCTTCTAGTAATGGCAGTTAAAGACCAATCCTCTTGCTGAGAGCCACCATAAAAGCTGGACAAAGTATTGTTTTTAAATCTGTTTCTTCAAGTCATGAGAGAACTACTGTGGCAGCAAGGACTTGAGGTGGCAAGAATCTGAGGAGGTGAGCCAGACATATGATCAAGTTCTTCCCCTCTAAGTATTTGCAGATTCCAGGTGGCAGCTTGGAGACTAAGAAGCCAAGCACACCTTCTGGACATTTACAGGGCCAGAGAGATAAAAACTGGAGATAGGATCCCCAAAGGGTTACATCCTCAGAGTAGAGAAGACCCAGAAGAAGACAAGCCTTCACAAAGACTAGACCTGCCAAGCCCACAAGCATCCCAATGCCTGATTCAAATGCTTCCCCCAACCTTAATGACCCACCAGGAGCAAAAGTAAATTCTCCCAACAGATGATAGCACCATCCAAAGACTCACTTTTTTTCCCATGGTCTTTCATACTCCATATTCAGCATCAATACATTACCAGGCATAAGAGGAGACAAGACCACATGACTAAAAATCGAGAGAAAAGAACAAAACCTATTAGTAACAAATTCATGAACTAGCCAGATATTGGAGTTACCAGATACAGAGTAGAATATATGTAAATAATAAGTTCAAGAATTGCAATGAAAATATAGAGAATTTCAGCAAAGAAGTGGAGATATATATATATATGTGTTTTATATATATATATATATATAACTTGTAGGGCTTCCCTGGTGGCGCAGTGGTTGAGAATCCGCCTGCCGATGCAGGGGACACGGGTTCGTGCCCCGGTCCGGGAAGATCCCACATGCCGCGGAGTGGCTGGGCCCGTGAGCCCTGGCCACTGAGCCTGTGCGTCCGGAGCCTGTGCTCCACAACGGGAAAGGCCACAACAGTGAGAGGCTCGCGTACCGCAAAAAAAAAAAAGATAACTTGCAGAAAATGGATAGTAATACAAACAATTATTGTCCAAAGCAATGCAAATAAACTTCGGTCCGTAGAGACACCCCCTCTAGGATACTAATCAGTTTTGCATGTTAGCAAATTCACTTCAGCATTCTTGAGTAATACCTGTGTCTGTACCTATTTCAAATTCTCCTTTGAACTAGTCT